ATGATAAGAAACAATACACTTCCCACAAACCTAGAGATTGACCGGGAGTTGATCAAGGCATCCATTGATACATTAATAGAAGCAAATGAAGTAGAAGGTTTCGAAGAACTAATCACTGCCATTGAGGAACTGATTTGAAGGACAGAGGTATTTCCTCAGTTGTAAGCATTAATATCTTTTGTAATTAGTAGCCATAGGAAAGTTTTTGTAACTACTTTCCCTTTTGTATATGAGTTTCATTATAACTCACAAAACGCTATATTGAAACAACACTTTGTAGTTGTAATGTAATCTTTTTAAATTCAGTTACAGTTGTGTTACATTGTTATTTTTGTACTGGAACCTTTGACAGTCTCAGATTATAAAATCATCACCGAGTGCATAGCAGTAAATTTTATTAGGCCATTTTGTTTGAATTTTGGTCCTGATCAATGAGGTAATTTAGGGACACGAGACTTTCGCTCTCAGATTATAAAATCATCATCGAATACAAGGGACAACGTTAAAGTATTCTCTCAATGTATAGATCATTGAATGCCTGAATTCAATACATTGTCAAGAAATGTATTGAATCAAATAAGGGACCGTGCTCACGTTGGACGAGCGATGACTTTATACTAGGTATAAGTCTCCAAAAACTCGTTTTTATGCAATAGTGAACCACCTACTGATTCAAATCACTAGTGACTTAAAATTTTCATCATCTCAGGCTATTCATACCCAAAACCAACAATGACTTGCCACACAAATTTTGCACACACACATAATTAGGGACAATCAAGTAACCCACAATTTTTCCCAACAAGTATATCGATTTTTACCTCACCTGTAGAGATCATACCATCCAACATGTAGCCGTAGGATAGTAAATCATTGACCCAAATGATTTTCAATTTTGCCTACAAACAACAACAAACGAAGATTAATAAGTTCATTAACAAAACTTAACAAGCCTATTCACGGTACGTTAAACAAAATTTTTGGGGCAACATCTTCATAGTTTGAAAGAAAATGAAATCTACCAACCTCCAACACGGTACTCCAGTGGCTCGACGGCGAGAGGGCAGTATATACGAAGCATATCGATGACAACTCTACGGGTAGAAGAGCAACTCAATGGAGCCGCTTCAATCCTACCCCGGGTCGACGAAGAAGGTATCCGAAACAGCGATTGCCTGGCTCGAACAAGGGCAACACTGGAATCAACCTCCGGCTCCGAATCAGGGGCGAATCCATGGAGCACCATGGGAATTAGTGTTCGCGGTAGTAGATCCAGAGAAATCGGAAAAGGAAAAGGCATCGGCGATGGCCGATTTGGAGGAATCATTTGAGTCACTAAACAACTCCGAAAACCCACCCACAAAGCATAAACGACCCCTCTCAAGAGGGGGAACGACCCTCCGCCGCTGCAGGGGAGTGTGGGGCGAACGACATCACCGGAAAAATGAGTCGAAAAGAAAGGGGCGACAGCGACGGCGTAGAGGATGACGAAGGTTACAAACCCTAATCGAGAGGAAGGTGGGTGAAAGAGTGATGGTGGATGGATAGATATTAGATGGGTAGGTAGGAGTTAAATTAATGGGGTGAGTATTAAATGTGTTTTAATTTTGTTATTTGTGTAAAAATATAGAAGGACATTTCTATAATAAAATGTAAAGAGGAGGGCATTTGTTATTTTAGATGTATATAAAAGTTACTAATATAGGAAACGGTAACATTGTAATGAGACGGATAAAACTAAAAAGTGGCAACCTTGCTGTGGGACGGAGGGAATATACTTTTTTTGACTTGGACGAAAGTACCTATTTATATTTTTGTAGTAAATTTAAAAAAAATATCTCCTCAGTTCAAAACAATAGTTCTATTTTGTTATTTGCGTTCATTTCAAAATAATAGTCTTTTCATTTTGGTAATTAACTCTCCTCTTTTTATAAAAGTATACTCACTTTTTTCACAATAAGTACATAAGGTATGAACATTTTAGTCTTTTAGAAATACTTTTATACCTACTATCAATATAAGAGTACTACTATTATTCCTTAATTTTTATGTTCATCCCAAATGTCTATGTTGTTTTGAGACAGAGGGAGTAATATTTATATGTTAATAAAAGTATGAAATATGATTTGATATTTTAGTTCTTTGTACTTTATATAATTGTGATGATATACTTGTAATTTATATAAAATTAAAGTTTTTTGTTTTTTATATTAGTGTACGATTACTTTTACTTTATTAGTTAGTTGAAGTGTGTAAAAGATTTTAACATTTTTGTCATTTGACTTTTTATATAAAATAATTGTATGTGTAATGATATGTTTGTAATTTAGATAAAAATTAAAGGTATCTTGGTATTATTGTATGATTACTTTTACTAAAAAAATAAAATAGATATTCTTTAGTGAGACAAACGGAAATAGTAAAAATAGTACATTAAATTAGAACTAAGAAAGTAAATATTTTTTAGTTGACAGACAAAATAATAAAAAATACTTGTTAAGACGGAAAGTAGATAATGCAAAACTAATAGAAGAATTTAAAATAAATTATAAAAAAGAAACTAAATTTTTGTTTATGGATTTGAGTTTTTGATAATTTTAAATTCAAATTGTTATTTTATATGATATAAATAAATATTTATATAATACTTTGAACATAGATTGAAATTTAAATTTAATACAACAAAAACAAATGTTTAATTTCATATTTTTACTAGAATTTTTTTATAAATTTAGAAAAACTTGGTTTAAATTTCTTATGGGAGGAGGGAACTTGATACTATTTATCATTTTAGACCTTGTATTAGGTCAGTCTTATAATTAAAAAATTGACAAAAATATCCTAAAAAATATCCTCAAATGCTACAATGAAATCTATTTGGGAAATATTTTAGGATTATAACTAGGTTTTATATTGGATTAGTCCTGTTATTAAGAAAATAGAAAAGGATCGAGATTTTATTAATGAAAATCAACAAAAAACTTTAAATTAGTTTTGGTTGGTAGGCTTAGCTCCCAAACTACTTGAAAATACAAAATCGATACAATACACACCTAACTAGTGACGAACACAAGAACATTGGTCCAAAACCTACTAAACAATAAGAAAATAACCCCTATAAGAAAAATATAAGGCAAACAGGAACAAACCACACGCCTACCAAGTTGAACGAGTCCCTTACAACTACGAACAACACCGATAGGGAAAAACTCGCGCTAAGAAACTCCACAAAACATGAGGAATGCACCACCAAGGAATCGTTGAAATAGTAACCGTTGGAACAGTGTGATTGAGATAGTTGAGAAAAGAGGCTAGAGAGAGAGTTGTAGAGAGAGGATATGAGAGTGAATTATAAGACGGTGACCTCTCTCATCTCTAATATATTTGTACGGTAAAATATGATGAACAATCACGATTATACCTACATCGGACGGACAGGATCTCATCTAAAAAAAGATGGGGATCCAGTGGTAGGTACGGGTCGTGAGACTGGGTCATGCCAAGGGGCGCGGGTTAGGAGCATGGGTTAAGGCGTGGGTATGGGTCGCGACCCTCTAAAGTGGGCCAAGGTGTGTCTTGGCTGCATAATTAGGTGTGTTTGTGTCTTATGTTGGGTGGATCTAATTTGACAAAAATCCAACAAATCTTTCATCAAAATTTTCATCCGAGTGGTTAAATTCATCATCGCCCATATTTTTGGATTAGTTTACCTGCAAAAAAAGAAAAAGTACATAATGTTAGTCTAAAAACAATAAATTAGCCTATCAACTACTCTAAGGAGTACAAAACTAATCAAAAGTATCAATATATATATATATATTTATACAAGATACAAATTTATTTGCAAAAAAAACTTAGTTCCCATATCATGTGGGTTATATTTAAAATGAATCTTTTTTAGTTTTAATATATCTTTAGATACTTTTAAAAAATAAATACTTTTATAACACTTTTACAATTTTCAATAACTAATAACAAAAAATTGTAAACATTCTAAACTCAAAAGAACATAATTGAATATATTAGAAACAAAAATAAAATAGAAATGTCCTCAATTGTCATTTTACGTATAAACAACTAATATCAAACAGTTGTTTTACCAAACATTTTAATACAAATAGCTAATCAAATCAGCTAGTCAAACCAGCTAATTGAATCAGCTAACAGCTATCAATTAATTGAATCAGCTAACATCTAACAACTATAATCTAATTGCCAGACACGCCCTAAATATAATAATAAAAGAAAATATATTTAAATAATTAATAAATAGTGTAATAGAAAAATATATGAATATATATATATGAAAGAATTAATTAATTTTAAGGGCAAATAAGGAATAACAAACATTAAAATGAAAAAGCTAATTTGAAAATTTGATATATACAACTTTTTCAAAATTAGTTTTTCGGACCCAAAAAGCTAATTGAAAACGCTAATTTACCAAACACTAAAATTAGCTAATTTATTAGTCAAATAACTAAAAAATCTTCAATAAGTTAAAACTCTTGAAAAAATTGTTTACCAAACACACTCTATAACTCAACCCAAACACCCATGTAATATTTATAAAAATATGGATACAAATATAATATTTTAAAAAACTAATAAAAAAGACAAATAGTTTTTTTTTTTTTTTTTAAAAAAAAAAAAAAAAAGAAAACACAAACAATCCCAACACAATACATAAACAAAATTACAAAAACGAACCTTTCGAAATTGGAAGGAATGGTTTGTTTTAAGATAGCAAATTATTGTAGACATGGCTCGGTGTCTATTTGCTAGCCCCATAAAATAAAACAATCATTTTCCTCTCTTATCCTATCATTTTGGATGACGTGGAAAGCCGTAGCCGCTATCTGAAAGTGCGCACTGGGTAAACCCTCGGCCGAACCTAATACTCTGCAAACTAGGCCCGACAGAATAGTCACGGAAAAAAAAAATCATTTTCCTCCCTTATCCTATCTTTTTGTTTCTTAAAATTATTGTTGTACTATTGTTATTATCATTTATTACATTCTTGCAACATAGTCCACAACAACCTAAGGCCTAACTAAAAAAAGTAGAAATAAAGACTATGTCCCAACTGCCGGTAGAGCTGGTGTTCATCCCCTCGCCGGGGCTGAGCCACCTCGTCTCCACCATCGAGGCCGCCAAGCTCCTCCTCGTCCGCGGCGGCAACCGCCTCGCCGTCACTGTCCTCATCATCAAGTTACCTAAGGGAGCAGATGATCAAAAAGAAAAGATTTCTTCCATCATGGAAGGAACTATTCCTCGCCTTCGATTCGTTGAATTGCCCGATGACCATAACATCCAACCCGGGTCGCCGACATTTCTCTTTGACTATATCGACAACCACGCCGATAAGATTCGACAATTCTTGTCGGAGATGATCGAGAAGCCTCTTGTCCCCGGCACCCAACTAGCCGGCCTTGTTCTCGATATGTTTTGCACGAGTTTTATTCAGGTTAGTACATTTCAATAAAATTATACTTTCTTTGTTCGGTAGTAAATTTTTGTAGTAAATTTTTAATTTGACTTTTGTATGCAAATTAAGATAGATTAGTATTTTATTAATATTTAGTGTAATAAAATAATGTAATGCCTATTTATATTTTTGCAACATGACTTTTGGGTAAAACATGTTTGTTTGCCCAATAAATTTTTTTTCGGATATACGGAATTTCTAATATATATTATATTTTTCACAAAATTTAATATTTAATATAAAATATTATTTTTAATATTATCGAAAAATATTTTCATACTTTATATATTATAAAAAAAAAAAAGTCAAATTAAAAGTACTAAACAAACAAACCCACGAATTATTTGCAATTTGTTGCGGTTAGTAATTTTTATCTGTGCTGCTGAGGAATTGGGGAATCAATTGGTTTTGTGTTTCCTTTATGTGTTTTATTTATTTATTTATTTATTTATTATGTCATATGATTTTTCATTGTTATACTTCTTCCATTATGAAGTTGATTTTTTTTTAATATGACATAATTTTAACATATATATAATATAATATATATATATATCATTATTTTTCTTTTTTTTTTTTAGAGTGACCTCACAATTGAGGCTGAGAAGGGTTAAAAGGATAAGCTATGTCCAACTTAGAAGAATGCAAAAGCTTAGATACATCTAAAATTCGAAATAAAAATAAAGATTGTGTTTTTTTTGGGTTTTACAAGATGTTTCTATTATTCTGATTTATTTTTTCTTTCAAAAATATCAAATCAAATAATTATTATTATTTTTATATTATACTATAAATTTATTTTGCATTCAAAACATCAAATCAACTTCTATTTATATCTCATCAAATAACTATTCAAAATTAATATTTTGCTATTCGAAAATACAAACCCACAAACAAACACATAAAATAAATAAATAATTGGATAAGAGAATATGAGTTACAACACCAAAAAAAAAAAAAAAAAAAAAAAAAAGAGTTGGATTTTTTTCAACACCAAGATTTTCTAAAGAGTCATCCATCCTAATAATATTTTTGGCCAAACACTTTTAACTTCAAATTTATGATGAAATTAATGCAAGGATGTAACTTGGGCATATGAAAAAGTTAGATTATTGTAACAAATCTAAAAAAAAATTGAATAACTGAAAAAGAAGAAAAAAATATCAAATATAAAATACATTATTCAACGATATACTAAATAAAATATATAAAGACAACATATGAAGTATATTAACAATACAAAATTTATGTTTCGTAAGGGATAACATAATGACATATAATGATATTGTTGCATTTATAAACATATGGTTAAAACCTATTACATCTTATGGTCCTACAATGATGTCTTTCCCTACCTTTAAAACCCAAACTGAACACAAATGATATGTGCAACGAAAATCAATGCAAATTCTTAAAGTTTGTTGTGTTCAGATTATGTCGTTTGCGTGAGATTTGAACAACTAATAAATCGCAAAAAAGGCTGTGCAGAAATAAACGAAACAAACAATATACTAGTGTTTGTTGACCCAATTCAGCTCTCAACCGGCCTACGTCTGGAGTACCAACCCAAGGACGTTCCACTATCCGTAAGATAGATACAAGATACAAAAACTCTTCATACAAACTCTTTAAAACAATAGCCACAAATTCAATTAAATGTATTGGTTTTCCTACCATATATAAGTGTATCTTCCTTCTAAAAAACAAGCATGCAAAGCCCTAACTTCTATTGGTTGTGCTTTGAAAGAGGACGTTGCTACAAATAGCTTGACATCTTTTTCTTCCTCCAACTCTTCTTAGAACCCCTTCGTGCAAACAAACATTTCAGCAATTTTTCGACTCAACAAATTGTAGCGATCCATTCTCGATATCAATTCAGCTTCAAATCAGCTTGACCAAGTTCAAACTCAATGTACCAAACAAAAATCCTCTTAAAATTTTCCACTCAATACATGGTCTACTTCACAACAAAATATCTCAAGATAAAATAGCACATTTCCTCGCCTAGAAGAATGACTCAATCTATTACAACATGAGATTTGGATTTTTCTTTCGGTATGAAGATGAGTAGAACTCTTCAAACTTTCACTCTCTACTTAGAATACGAAAGATATCAGTTTTTTTCTCTCAGAAAATTATAAAAGCCACCAAAATTTCATAGGTTATGTATATATACACACAAAAACACACTTCTTCCAATCAAAATTCGACAACATAAGACTCCATGCACCCAATCAAGAATAGACACACTCTAGTCCCGTAAGGGATGACCTGGTAGTGTGGGGAGTGAACTTGTGACCGTGAGGTCATGGGTTCAAACCCTGATGCCTCTAGGTCCACTTGCCACACATAGTTCGCCTAGTATGATTTGTCTTGTCGAGCCTAGTTTGCAAGATATTACGTTCGACCGAGAGTTTATCCAGAGCGCATTTTCGGATACCGGTTACGGGTTCCCATGTTATAAAAAAAATTAAAAAAAAAAGAATAGACACACTCTATGTAGTGTTTCATACATTTGAAAACATAATTGATACGTCATATATCCATTAAATGCAATGAGAGGGGTTGAGACAAAACTTACCCATTTCGGCAATAAGTGTCCAAGCTATTTTCTACACTTTCTTCGTCTTTGCTTGCAGTCAAGCATTGATTGATTCAAATTGTCTTATCCTAGAGCAACTTTCAGTCCATAAAAAAAATAAATAAATAAAATAAAATAAAAAAAAGACATCGATCCAGGTATCATAGACAATGCATGCAACAATCAAGTATGCGAAAGTCGGTTGTGCATTCTCTACATATCTGAAAGGGAATTAAGAGTTCTTTTCCTCTTCTTCCTTTATTTTTGACTTTTCGAATCGATACAAGCACATTTTTTTCTTGTGTTTTTTATCTTTTAAACATGAAGAAAGTGAATTATCTTTTTATCACACAAAAGACCTTTTCAGCTCAAAAAATATGTGACAAAATATTCCATATTAGTAGTTAGTGTGGACAAGTTAGTAGTCACACAAACATCAGTTAATTGTCTGAATATTCCGAAGACCATCAATACATCAAACAAAATTTAATACCAACAATATCAGAATTAACATTTTTTTAAAAAGTAAAAATAAAACAAAATGCAAAGCGGATTGCAGCTAGAAAGGGTGTGGTCTTCCCCCAATCCCAAAATATACATTTTCCCAAATAATTCCTCCCCATTCTTCGAATACCTAAAGGTGTGTTTAATATAGGAAAATAAGGTCAGAGAAATGATCATTTCTCTAGTTTGATTGAGTTAGAGAATTAAAAATTAAAAAATAAATTATTTTTCATTCTTTGATTTTATTTTTATGTCATATACAGGAAAATGCATTGATGACAATATATTCATTTTTATTTTTTAGTTTTTTGTATTATTTACTTTTATAATTTTTAAATTATATATTTCAATCTTATAAAGCATCACATTTAATTTATTATTGAAATATTTATTTTTTTTACTAGTTTTTTAAAAACAATTACACTGAAATTCGATCTTACAAAATATCATATGTAATGTATTATTTTAAAAAAAAAAAAATTCACCAAAAATATTTTTTTATTATTATGAATTCTCAGTTAACAATTTTTTCTTGCCCGATTAATCATAGATTGATTGATTTCTTAATTGAATTCTCTATTTTATATAGAATTAATTTTTATTCTTTTTCCTATGCAATTCCATTATATATACCAAATGCCCCTAAATGTAGACGATTACTTTAATCGTTAATTCCTACAAAAAAAATAAATAAATAAAATTGAAATATCGAAATTACTTTTCAACTGTTAACAATTCTTGTAAACAAAAAAGAAACAACCCAACTCGTCTCATTTTATTTCGATTCTATTTTAGTTTTCATGACATTTAATTTTCTGTTTATTTGGTTACGTTGCACAGGTGGGTAACGAATTTAGCATTCCATCCTACGTGTTCTTCACTTCAGGAGCATTAACTCTCGGCACATTCTACGACCTCGTTTCACTCAAATTCGAACAAAATCAGGACCTGGCACAGTACAAGGATTCCCACGTCGAACTGTCCTTGAATTGCGCCTCTCACCCTATCCCCGTCAAATTATTTCCTACAATCTTTTTCGAGGGCAGCTCCGTCGCAGATCTCTTCCTCGGATACTTCCAGAAAATGACCGATACCAAAGGAGTTCTCGTCAACACATTCTACGACCTCCAAAAATACACACTTGATTCTTTGTCGGCTCATTACAATAAGTACCCCAAGGTTTACCCGATCGGACCAATTTTGAAGGACAATCATGACGGCTCCGGCGGTAATCCGCCGGAAAATGATGTAATAAAGTGGCTGGACGATCAGCCGGAGGATTCGGTGGTGTTTTTATGCTTCGGGACGATGGGGGCATTCGAAGAAGCTCAGGTGAGGGAATTCGCCAAGGCTCTGGAAGATTCCGGAAGCAGATTTGTGTGGTCGTTGCGGAAGCCGTCGGGAGAGAAGTCGATTCGGCTTTCCGGTGAGTACGGCAGCTTCGACGAGGTTTTGCCGGAGGGTTTTCTGGAGCGGACGGCGGCGGCGGGGCGGGTGATCGGGTGGGCCCCGCAGGTGGCGGTGCTGGCGCACGCGGCGGTGGGGGGTTTCGTGTCGCACTGCGGGTGGAACTCGGTGCTGGAGACCGTGTGGCACGGCGTTCCGGTGGCGGCGCTGCCGCTGTACGCGGAGCAGCATATGAATGCGTTCGAGCTGGCGACGGAGTTGGGGATCGCGGAGGTGATCAGGAGTGACTACAAAACGGATTCGAGTAAGAAGGCGGAGGTTATTCCGGCGGGGGAGATCGAGGCGGCGATCCGGCGGGTGATGGCGGCGGAGAGCGGCGTGAGGGAGAAAATGAAGGAGATGCAGAGGAAGAGCCGAGAGGCTTTGAAGGAAGGCGGATCGTCGTACGCGTCGCAAATGGAGTTTCTACAAGATGTGTTGAGGAACGTTGGATTGGAATAATAGGTTTATGATGGCCTCATAGTATTAGATTCCATCGAGGTTTATCCAGTGCGCAGTTTCGACTAGTGTTGCAGTTTTTCACGTCATCCAAAAAAATAAAAAATGGTATTGAAACGGTTGTGGGAAGAATTCACACTGTCTGCACTATATTGATTTAATATCAACTTTTTGATTATTTACGTTACCAATTTAAAAGTTTAATTGCATAAAAATAATCTAATAATTATATATATGTATATTTAAAAAAATATTACAAATGTGTTAGTCATAAAAAAAATAAATAAATAAAATATAAATATATATATATATATTTACTCTTTATAATTGCTTCTTCGATATTACAAATGCGTGACTCTATATTTATACACGTAAATTGCTGATTGAATACAGATTAAAATATGTTCTTTGTATTTACATAAACTGTCTTTTAAATATTTTAAATTTTATCTTACAAAAATATATTGAATAAGCCTTATGATGTGTTCTTTTATTCAAAATAAATCACCATATTTTTTAATTATTTATTAATTATATTTTATTTAAATTCTCATGTTTATAGTAAAGAGTAAATGATAATTTGACAGAGGGCTATTATTTATAACTTAGAAAAAAAAATAAATAAATAAAAATATCTCATTAATCGAATTTTGATTACAATTCCAACTTTGTAACCAAATATAATTTTTCTTTTCAATTTTTCTGTTATTTAAACTATCAATTGCTTATTTCATATGACGTACGGACACAAACACTAATTAACTTAATACTCCGTATTTATGACTTGTCTAAGTTGTAGAGATTTAGAAGACAACGAATAATATGAAAATTTTAAAAGAGGACATTCATAATAATAATAAAAAAATAAATATTATATAACTTAAGATTGAGTTTTTTTTTTTTTTAATATAGTTGACTCCATTCATGTAGTGTTTTTAGATGAAATTATTTTTTGTGTTTAATATACGAAATTGTGTTCAAAATATAAAATATACTCCCTCCGTCTCATGTCTATCTATTCATTTGTTTTTTGTACGGAGTTTTAAAAATATTAGTATTATTTATTTGATTCTCGAATTATATTATACATCAGAAGAAAATAAAGAAATTACAGTAAGATTTTGCTCAACCAATTGACCACAAACGTAAGGTTTAGGGCTAATTTGGGAATGACATAAACATGGGTAATGCGCATGGAGGTGCCATCAGCCTAAGTATAGGAGGGGACAAGATGACAGGTTGGATGGAATGTAAAAGGCGAGGATCAGGTGTCATGTGGTTACAACAAGTAAAATCAATATACCATGTATTGTTACCTGATGTCGAAGCTAATGAAGGGTGGATTGATAAAACCTGAGTGAGCATGTGACGGAGGTCGTCAAGAGTGGGAGGCGGCTGAGGCGACTGTGATATTTATCAGACTGAGTTGATCGGGCATCATTGTGATTATCTCAACGATGGGGAGTAGAAGAGGAAACTGCCAAGGCCAGATGAAAGGTAGGAGCTTTGGGCATCTTAAGACGGGTGTCCTCAAACAAAATCTCCTTCATCGCTGTCTCCAAGGAAGGCAAGGGATGACGATAAAGCAAAGAAGCACGCACAGACTCGTGTTCTGGACCAAGCTTCGTCAAGAGTTTAATCAACCAAAGTGCTCAATATGTATGTCTGTCTCATCAATGCGATCCCACATAGACTGTATAGTAGAAAGAAACTCATTCATATCCTGGCGCGAGTCATGTGTCAGTGCATTCAATGACTCGATAAGTTGATAATAATGTATGCCTCAAATGGTCTGATATCGATGCTGCAAATAATCACAAGTTTTCTTGGCAGTGTCTATGCGGCGAAGTTGAATCTGAATGGACTTGGCAGAGTTATTCCGAATCCAAGTAAGAATAATGTGATTCTTACTATCCCACTCATCCAAGGCATTCCAATAGTCCGTGAGCTTCTTATTGGTGAAGGGCGCCGTAGAGGTGACAACAGGAGTAACCGGTGCAGAAAAATCGTCAGTAACATAGCGTCATAATCTTTTACCAATCAAAAAACTCTTCATGGATTCAGCCACAAATCATAATTATCACCAAAAATAAAAGAACAGTAATCCCAAAAGCGTTTACATGATTCATATGAAGAGTCATACTATGAAGCAAGAAGATCAAAAATAGTATAGCGCGCGCAAAAAGATCGTGTAAAAAATCAAACTGGGAAAGCCAACCCAGTAACAGTTGCGAAATAAATTCAAGTCAGATGGCGAAACCGACCATACCAGGACATCAAGGATCGAGGCAGGTGGCGGCGGCCAGAAACCGCTGGGCGCGCCCTCATGTGCGGCAGGAAAGCGGCAGTCGCTGGAAGGGGCCAACGCCAATTTGCGTCCGAGGTGTGTGCGGCTGCCACGCCCCGGCATTGGCGGCGAAACTCCGGTGGCTGGCTGGTCTCGAGGAGGCGGAGGGGATGGTGGCGGCGGTGTCCTCCGGTGAGCGGCGGCGCGGTGGGGGCAAAATAAACCTAACTCAGCTCTAATATTATGTTCAAATATTTACGAAAAATAGAAATTGTATTATATTGACGAAAAAAAAAAGTTCCAATGTCATATATATAGGCATATATGTGGGCCCAAAAGATAATATATAAAAATATATACTAACAACTACAAAGAAGAGAAGAATGGAAGAGAAAGAATTTATGTAAAAACCTTGTCATTTTTTGAGAAATGGTGATTCTTACTTGATAATCGTTGGATAAGCCTGGAATTTGTAGGTTATGTTATTGACTTGTTTTTTTCCAATCCAACGATGAAATTTTCGACTTGAACTTTCTAGTTCAACCAAAAAAATTACAAAATATGGTAGAATCTTTAGGATTGATTTTCTTAATCTTGATTTCTACTCAAATTTGTGGTATTTATTTATTGATTTATTTGATAACGTGAAAATTTGCAGTTACTACTCTTCGAGTGTGCTTTGGGTAAATTTTTGCTCAAAATTCATAGTCTGTAAATTAGGTCCGAGAAGACAAATCACACTTAGATGAACCATATGAGACAAAATTTATGGCATTTATTGATTGATTTGGTGATTGAAAATTAGTTTACACAATTTATAAAGAACTAAAATTGTATTACCCGTGCACCAACTGATGAGTAGATAGGAAGGGTTAGCGGGGCTCTCACTCAATGGAAAGTACAATGCTATCGAAAATATATTTATACATATATATATTACACATGTTTTTTGTTTCGATTTAAACTATATATTTACTTTTTTAATAAATTAAAAAATAATAATGTTGATATAAAATTTTGTTTGATGATACGAGGATCCGCAGAATGATCAGACAACCAACTGGTGCTAAACTGTCCACGCTGTCTTCTGATGTGGAATGTTTTGCCACATATTTTCTGAGATGGAAAAAGTCTTTTTGGAAAATAAAAAGACAACTCTAATCAAGCATATTTCATAGGCAAAAAGTACAAGAGAAATTGTGCTAGCATTGATTTGGAAAGTCAAAAGGATATGAAGAAAAAGGAAGGAAAACTCAGTCCCTTTGGGATCCGTAGACAGATCAAACAACCAATAAGCTATTTGCAAGACTGCAACCTGTCCGAGTTCATGGTTCGAGGTCTGATGTTCTGGTCATTGAAAAATCTTTAAGGTGAGACAAATTATATATCTCACTGTCTTACTTCATACAAAGATAAAATGATTTTGTTCCACGAGCTTGCATGCAAAAAAGATGTCAAATTTGAAGGAAGAAAAAGTCTATCACTCTCATTACCAAAAGAGGTATTATTTGACTATCATCTCTTCCTAGGACATTTGTGAGGATATAGACATGTCAAATTTCGTCCCATATGGTCAGATACATGTCTTTGAATATGTCCAAATTTGTTTGACCAATTGGAAGATTGTTGTGTCGATTTTTTATTGGCCAAAGAAAATATTGTATATTCTATATATACATACTTCCTAGGTTTGTTTTTCTTTAAAATTTTCATCATTCATTGAGAGAGAAATTAGGAGTGAGTTTTGTGAGCTTCGAGCTAGAAACTTGGAGAATTTTTTCTCATCAGCATTTCCTTATGAAAAGCTTAAATCTCATGGTATAATAAGTTGAGTCATACTTCTTGTTAAGAGAGAGTGTACTCCTTTATTTTCATGGATTTTTGTTGTGAGGTTAGGCCATGTTTTGTGTAGAAAATCTGAGAATATTTTATCTACAACTTGGGTCTGAACCTGATCGAAGTTACTGGAGATTCGAAGCCAAAAATTCTATCCTGAAGGGATCACTGTTGTCTGTTGTGTCAACAAACTACCGAGTATTTGTTTGGTGCAAAGGAGATTCCAAGGAGAGTTGAAGAAAGAAAGGGTGAAGCTGCTTACACACTCGTCCCATCTCGGAGCACAAGCCAATGGAGGTTGCTGCGGCCTTGCACACTTGCCTTTGCGAAGGAAGGTGCACTTGCATATGGTAGGGAAAACAATGCATTTTAGTTTAGTGTTTATGACTAGAAATTTGTGGAGTTTGTGTGAGGAGTTTTGTATCTTGTTTCTGCCTTAATCATAGTGAAATTACTCTGGGTTGGTACCCCCAGACGTAGGCCAGTTGAGCGCAGAACTGGGTCAACAAACGCTGATGTGTTGTTTGTTTTGATTCACATATTTTTGTTTTTGTAAGTAGGGATGACAATGGGTTCAGATAAATCCGATATTCGACTCAAATCCAACCCATTTATTTGGAGTCAAGTTCAATTATTCGGATATCAGGACTGGGTTTGGTATAATATATTTTTATCGGATCCTGGTCGGATCTCGAGTTCAAGGGTGGATCCTACCTGGACCCGATCCGAACTTGATTAATATATTAATAATATATCAATTATATATGTGAAAAAAAAATTAATAATATAAATTATATTAAAAATATGTTTTTAGTTTAGTTTAGTTTAGATTATTTATTATTTTATTATAATATTTTTGAATAAAATATAGTATAAATTTTAATATATATTGACTCCGGGTCGAGATTTGGATCCAATTTTGAGTTAAATTTTAAGAATTGTAAAATAAATTTCGAGTCTATCAGGTCCATTAAATTTTATCGGATATTGTTTGAATCGAGTCCAGATATGATCGAATTTGGATATGTTGAATCCAATTCAAATATTGGGTCCAACAAA